CAACATCTTCATCAATGACTTGGATGAAGGGATAGATTGGGAACTCATCAAATTTGCAGACGACACCAAGCTGGCAGGAATAGCCAACACTCCATAAGACAGGCTTAAGATACAGAAGGATCTGGACAGACTTGAACACTGGGCACTAACTAACAAAATGAAATTCAATGGTGAAAAAAGCAAGGTTCTACATTTAGGCAAGAAAAACCAAATGCACAAGTGGCACCATGCTCAATAGTAGTAACTGTGAGAGGGACCTCGGAGTCCTAGTAAACAATCACCTAAATATGAGCCAGCAGTGTGCTGCAGTTGCCAAAAAGGCCAACACAGTGCTAGGCTGCATTAACAGAGGGATAGAATCAAGATCACGTGAAGTATTTTTTTTTTATTGAAAATTTTTAGGTTTTACAAAAAGAAAAGATTCCCCTCCCCCACACCCTCCCACCGCTCCCCTACCCTCCCCCAATCTTCCCAGAGCTGAATACAGGCTTAATTAAAAAAAATTTAAAAAAATCTTGAAACGCTTATAAACCATAAACAAATCTAAATACGTTAATTAAACAAATTATAAAATAATTAACAACAATATATAAAAAATACAAGAAGAAAGAAAAGAAAAAACAGAAAAAGAAAAAAAAATAAAAGAAAATATCTAAGAAATATCTTAAACTTTAATTATAAATTATTCAAAAACTAAGTAATATTTTTTTATATCCAACTTATATTGTATGAAATCTATCCACCTTTTCCATACCAGGAGATACTTCTCCTGCGATTGATCTTTCAAGGAAGCTGAAATCTTTGCCATTTCCGCCAAATAAGAAACTTTAAAAAACCATTCTTGCAATGTAGGCAAAGATTCCTTCTTCCAACATTGCCCTACTAACAACCTGGCCGCTTTGATCTTTTATTTGTTTTAACAAATTCTCATCTTCTCTAAGCAAACCCAAATTACGATCTATCTTCCACCTCTCTACTATTTGTCTATACTGAAACCATGAATAAATAATATTTTCTTGTGTTAAATCTTCCAGAGATTTTAATTGCCAATTTTTACCATCCCATCTAAGTAATTGTGCATAAGAAACACTATCCATCTTGACTCCTCTCCTTATCCCTTCTGTCGCATGCCATGGTATAGCCCATAATGGAATTTTAAAATCATTTCTATAATATTTCTTCCAAACCCAAAGTAAAGAAGTCCTTATAATATGAGATTTAAAAACCCTGTCAACTTTTTTATTGAAAATTAAATAGGCATGCCAGCCGAAAAGCAAATCCCAAATCCCAAATCCCAAAAGCAAATTGGGATCACGTGAAGTATTAATACTACTGTACAATGCCTTGGTAAGGCCACACTTGGAATACTGCATTCAGTTTTGGTCACCATGATGTAAAAAAGATGTTGAGACTCTAGAAAGAGTACAGAGAAGAGCAACAAAGATGATTAGGGGACTGGAGGCTAAAACATATAAGGAACGGTTGCGAGAATTGGGTATGTCTAGTTTAACGAAGAGAAGGACAAGGGGGACATGATAGCAGTATTCCAATATCTCAGGGGCTGCCATAAAGAAGAGGGAATTAAGCTATTTTCCAAAGCACCTGAAGGCAGGACAAGAAGCAACGGGTTGAAACTAATCAAGGAGAGAAGCAACCTAGAACTAAGGAGAAACTTCCTGACAGTGAGAACAATTAATCAGTGGAACAGCCTGCCTCCAGAGCAGTAAATGCTCCAACACTGGAAGTTTTTAAGAAGAGACTGGACAGCCACTTGTCCGAAATGGTGTAGGGTTTCCTGCCTGAGCAGGGAGTTGGACTAGATGACCTCCAAGGTCCCTTCCAACTTTACTACTACTACTATTAATATTGGATTTAAAGATTCTTGCAAAATTTTATATATTTCTGCTGGTAAATCATCCGACCCTGGTGCTTTATTGTTTTTTTGTTTCTTAATTGCCTCTGATAGTTCTAGGGGTGTTATCTCTTTATTCAACACATTTTTAATCTCTTCTGAAATTTTCGGTAGGTCGGCTATTTGCAGATATTTTAGTATATCATTATTTTTCTGTTCTAAATCTTTATATAATTTCTTATAGAACTCATAGGCCTCCATTTTCTTTCCTTCATTCTGATATACCATATTGCCTTCTTCATTGTATAATTTACTAATCCTCTTTTTATCGTTATGTTTCTTTATTCTGTAAGCCAACCATCTCCCCGGTTTATTGGTGTTTTCAAAAAAGTTTTGCTTAGTACGTTTTATTTGCTGCCCCAATTCTTCCTTTTCGATAGTGTTCATCTTGTGCTTAATTAGGTCTATTTGTTGTTTCAGGTCATGTCTTTGTGGTTCATTTTGTAGATTTTCCTCGGCCCTGTTAAGTTCTTCTTCTAAATTTCTTTGTCGCTGTAGTTTAATTTTATTTTCTCTGGCCATATAAGCAATTGCAACACCTCTCATGTAAGCTTTGGCTGTGTCCCATAAGTTTTGGCAATTTGTATCTTCCTTTTTATTCATCTGAAAAAACAGACCCATTTGGTCTTCCAATTTCAATTTGAATTCTTTATGTTTTAAAATTGCTCTTTTCAGGGTCCATTTCCTTATTATTATTATTTTTTGCCCTCTCCATCTAATTCTGATTGGGTTGTGATCCGCCCAAGAGTTTGTGTCAATTGTAATATCTTCCACTTCTGAATTTAAATCTACTGACAACCATGCCATATTGATTCTGGACCATGATAGATGTCGCCCCGAATAGTAAGTATACTGCTTTTTCCCTGTATTCCTCTCCCTCCAAATGTCCTGAATATTAAACTCCTCTACCATTTTTAGGAAGGTACTATACTAGGTAATGTTCCTCTAATTCCTTTTCGAATCTTATCACTTTTATAATCTAGATGTCTATCCGCAATTGCATTGAAGTCTCCCATTATACAGATGTTGTCATATTCAAACTCACTAATAATACTATGTAATTTTTTTATGCCTTCATTCGGGGCATAAATTCCCACAAGGGCTATTTTTATTTTATTCAATATTACTTCTATTATTAGAATTCTACCATCTTCATCTTTATAAATTTGATTTGCCGGAATTCCCTCTTTGGTATATGCTACAACTCCTCCTTTTTTTTGTTGTGAAAGTGCTGCGAACATATTCCCCAATTTGGGGCGATTTAGTAGGTGTTGGTGTTGTTTTTTTATATGAACTTCTTGTAAAATTATTATATCCAAATTCATCTTACTAAGTTTATTTTTAAAAAATTCCTTTTTAATGGGGAGTTGAGACCATTAACATTCAGGGATAAAAATCTCAGCACTTTCTTTTACCTCTTTATCTATATTTAGATCTTGTTATTATTGTTGGTCTAGACTCTTTAACTTGTGGTTCCTTTTCTCTTTCCACTAACAGTCTTGTTGATTTAGCCTCTTTAACTTCTTTGAGTCTATCCTCATCATATTTTCCATTGTCTTTTCCATTATCTATATTCTCTCCTTTATGGGAAGAGGAATCTTGAAGATTGTAGTTCCCTGTGGCATTAGTTCCATTGTGGGAGCTGTCAGGAAGTCAGTGGTCATCCATCTTTATTCTCAGTAGTTCATTTTTTAAAACATGCCTGGGTTTTAACTTCACTTTTGAAGCTTCTGTTACACTTTGCTCTTTAACTTTAAAAGTTGACCAGGTTGTGGAATGCTGATCTATTTTAATCCCCTGCTGGACTTTATCTAGTTTTTTTTTCCTTTTCCCTTTGATTTCTATTGTTGTTTTAAATAACTTTTGCTTTTCCATAAGGAAATCATGTTCCTTATGTAGTAGTGAAAGTGTTTTCATTTGATTTACATCTATATTTGACTCTCACCACAGGGATTTTGCAGTTTATTAATTTGCAAAAAATTAGACCTTTTTTATTTTTCTTTTAATTTTGGATTGAAATATCTAGAAAATATCTTCCCTGCTTCTTTATTTATTTTTTCACTCTGAAGAATATTATTTCTCTATTTCCTGTGTTCTCTTATCTATTGTTGCTTAGTTACACAGAGCAACAATGTATCAAATTACAGACAGGCAAATGTAGCTGGCATCTGAAAAAACATAGTTTGGTAACATATAATCCCTAGTAGAAAGTTTTTTTAAGAAGTTTGATGAAATGATAAAGTTTATGAAAAATATTTAGATGCAAGTAACTGTAGATAAATCAAATTCACAAAAAGAATTTTATTTAAAAGTGGCAGATTTTGTGAAGAAATGATAAATTGGTTTTTCCTAAAGGACTGAAGGAGATTGGGGAATGAATTTATAATGCTTAACTGGAAAACAATTTCATTTGGACTCTTTGGGAAGATAAATCGACTTTGGAGAATAGCCTTATTATATTTAACTAGACAACAATTGTTAAGAGATGGTATCAAAAGTAAATGTGGACATATGATTCAGGATGAATCAGTGTTAACTGTTGGGATGATTTAGGAAAGATAAGAAACCATGGTAAACTTTCTACGAGTTGATTACAATAACAGTTTGTTAACAGAGCGCTTTGAAATTTTAATCTTGCTTTTTTATTATTGTTCTACTTGTTAACTATTTTTTCATTAATATAGTAGATAGATGACAGGTTAATAATCTGCAAATGGAATAAATAGTTTAAAATTTTTTGGGGGGGCTGTTTCTCAAGGAATGGGAAACTAATATCGTTGTAATATATTTATCAGTATTCAACTGATGGGAAAATATGTGTATATGTGTGTTTTTAATGCTCTTTTTCCCAATATCTTGTTTATTTTGTGAAATTGCTTTACATCTTAAATCCTTCTATGTTGCCAATTATTCTCCCATTCCTCCCATTCCCTCACTATTTTCTGTAGATAGCTTTCTTATCACAGCACTTTGCCATCCTTTATTCAAGTTGATTTGAATGTTCCAATACTGTAAAGAAATCTTGGGGGTGCCTCAAAGGTGAGAACCATTCTGACATTTTCATCATAACTTCAAATTTCTTCTGCAGTAAGAATAGCCGGAACCCCAACAGCAATATAAAATGGTTGCAGGTTCCACTCAAGGTTGATGCACAAGTAGAGCTGTTTGGGTGAGTACAAGCCATTTTGCTCAACCTCTTCCATTAGAACAGACATGTCAAACACAAGGCCTGGGGGCCGGATGCGGCCTGCGAAGTGGTTTCATGTGGCCCGCGAAGCTATCCTGGAAACAGTGAGGGAACGGCCCCTGCTGCCTTGGCCCTGGCCCAGGCCGGCCGGGGGCCAATATACAATTTTGTGGTGGCCATCTATTCTGAAACGCATTCAGCTCCACAAGGCCATCTGGAAACAGAGAGGAACCAGCCCCTGCTGTGTCAGCCACACCACCTGGGCATGCTGGGGAGGTGTCACTCTTTGTAAAGAATGAAATGGACCATGCCTTGGCGCTTGCCCTGATCCCACCCCCTTCTGCCAGAGACCCTCAGATCTGTCCCACTCCTGCCCAGGCCCCCACAGGCCCCCACAGGCACGAACAATGTAGAGCTGGCCATGCCCATCCAGTAGGCCACACCCACTCCATCCACGCCCACCCAGTAGGCCGCACCCAGCCTGGGCACACCCACCCGGCCTCCCAAGGGCAACCGCAATGCTGATGCAGCCCTCAATGAAATTGAGTTTGACACCCCTGCATTAGAATATTACTTTTCAGTGAGTGCAGATTATTTTTTTAATCTGCTGAGCTGATAAGAGGGATACTTTTTAATTCTTGTATTTTGTGCTCTTTGTTCCCAGAATCTCTATACCAGCTGCAACTGTGCTCCCATGGACTCCTGAGAACTTTAAAAACAAGAGCAATGAAGTCGGTGACTATGGACCGAAAATAGAACATATCTATCGGGTATCAAGAAACACACATTAATTGGAAATATGAAAGTTTTAGCCTAAAATTGAGACTTTTCCCTATTAAAGATCTCTTTTCTTTCTCTTTCTTCATGCCTGTCTTCCTCCCACCACCATTCTCCAGTTGCAGAATGCAGGCCCTAGTACAGTATCTGGAGCTGATCTGCTTGTGTATTTCCCCAGTCACTTCTGGAAAGGCTTTTTGCTTTACATCACAAGAGTGAGCACAGAAGGCAACATCATCTGTTCATCTACAAATGAGACCAACCCTCTAAAGGTAGAACTAACAATAGAAAATAGACTTATTACACAATGCTAGAATATCTCATTTGCATTCATGAATTAATCCATGGCACATTCAGGTTAAGGATTCAAAAAGTTGATAATGGAAAGACACCTGTCATCAAGAGCCCATCAAGAGTAGAGTGGATTAGTTAGAGTGTGTTTAATTTAATGGGATTGACCAATGGCATAACCTGCTTGCTATCAGGAATTGGAAGATTGGAAGAAATGGAAAGGTTCTGGAGAAATTACCAACATTCAGAATCTACAAATGGCTCTTCCCTTGGCAGTCTGCAAATTCTGGCTTCAAAAGTTCCAAATGATTGCATACATGTATGCAATCAGAATTTGAATCAGAGAATTTAAAAAAGGGAAAATTCAAGGGCTGTGATGATCAAACTATATCCTCAGCTTGATTTGTTCTAACTTTGGCTAGATTTTTAAATATGTTTTACATACGGTATTAAAGCTACTCAGGAAAAATAAGGTATCAGAAGGCAGGACTTCTGATTATCCAAATCAGCTGACTAAAATTTGTATCAAAATTATCCATTATGGTATCATTTTTTACCCTGAACTAAGCATAATGAGGCATGTTGGATTTTGATTGACTATGTTGTGTCAGCCCAATCACTGTGGTATACAATAGGTTGTGGCTTAGGCTATTGTGGATTCAGTATGTTGAACAAATCATTAATACGGTAAACATAGTTCCCTAGCTAGTTATTTTTCTATTATATTTTCAAATTCAGCATGGAAGAGCATTGTGCCTTAATAATAAACACATTATTGTCTATCCATTGAGGAAGCCCTTAATATTTTCTTCATCATAAAAGCAGACATGCAGTAAGGAAGCAAGGAGAAAGAAGGAAATCATAATTGAGTGTCATCATAGCTAAAAGTCCAGGAGCCTACAATTGCTTCCAGCAACCTGACTATTCCCTCATGGCATTGGCATGAGAGGCGTGATGTCAGCCTTTCAACATTCAAGGAACCTATTGAGGTGATGAGTCTTTGCAGGAAATGCTTAGAGATTGCCTTTTTGTGGTTTAAATTTTATAGGGTAATCCAAAGCAATAGACCCTGGATCTGAGTCCCATTTCTTTGCTCTTCATAAATGAGATTTATGAGATCATAAATGAGATACTGACCCAATCTGTAAACTTGAGAGTTACCTATCTTGCAGTGTTGATCTGAAAGTAAATGACATAAATATTCTATATATTACAATTCCATAAATATTTAGCATATCTTCATACTATTTCAATTTGAAATATTAAGGTGGGAACTGTTGGTTTTTAAAATGTCAAGATTTGGAAATCAAGAGGCTTTCCAGCCCTTCTCAATTTACTTAAACATACTGGCAGGTTCTGTGAATGCAAAAGCTAACCCAGGTCTAATCCACATCTGCTCCCTCTGCCTATAATTTTCTCTAAGAAAGAAATTGTTATCAGTGAAATACAAAACATTACTGCACATAGATGTTCAGTCACACTTCTGCTCCCAACGGGAATGTTCAGTTTAATACTGCAATTATTTCCCTCATAACATCTTCTCTTCTATGCTAGAACATAACATAAAGTGGATTCATCGTCTGCAATAATCTTTTTCTCTCGTGTCTTCCAGTAAAGATTTAAAGTCTAGTTCATGGAGTTTCCAATGTCCCAGTTTTCCTGCTTTAGAAGCATCTTTTGTGTCCTGAGTTTCCTGATTTATAATTGTCTTCCCCAGCTGTTGTGCTATTCAGAGATTTGAATTGCAAGTTTGCAGTCACATGCTCCAATAGCCTGTGAAAGGCTGTTGAAGCTTTTTAATACATTGCTTTCTTTCTTTTACATTTTTCCTCACCACTATAGGGAGTACTGTAGGTAGGGAGTGTGTGAAGGGATCTTTGATTTCTATTCATTCATGAGCTAGTGCGGGGGGGTGGGGGTGGGGGTGGGGGTGGGGAACCTTGGCTCTTTTATGACTTGTGGACTTCAACTCCCAGAATTCCTGAGCTAGCCATGCTGAGGGGAAAGGAAGAGGTTTCCAAGTTGAGCCATGCTGGCTCAGGAATTCTGGGAGTTGAAGTCCATAAGTTATAAAAGAGCCAAGGTTGCCTACCCCTGATCTAGTGCAAAAAGTGGGATAGAATTGTGTGATGCATGTCAGAAAGAGAAGATACTTCAATTACATGGACACACACACACACACACACACACACACACACACGGTCATTTTAACTTATCTTGTAGATGCGCTTGCTTTTTTTCCCCACCACTGTGATGCAGGGTTGCAAGAGCCAATTACGGCACCGATGACATTATTGTGATTGTTAGTGTGACTGCACTTTCACCAAAAAAAAAAAGTCCCTTGAAATGATTTTTGGTCCACAATAGTAGCTGTTCGGGTCTGGAAGGGCTGTTGCTTGCCTCAGCTCAGTTCAGCTCAGCTTCAGTGGCTGATGTCTTTCCATGATTCCTCCCTCCCTCCCTCATTGTCATACTGCCTCTTCTGCCAGTGCAGCAATATAAGTTAACGGAATGACCCTCCTGTGGGGAACATGGAAGACTTTTTTTTTTTTTTGCAGCCTCTCCTTCCTATCACAAGTTAAAGAGTTCTATTCTGCTGTAATCCCACTTCACTTATATAAATAAGAATGTTTCCAGTTTATACTTTCTATTACTGTTGACAAAAAGCCATTGCAAGGGATTCTTTTGTGAAAAGAAAAAGATGGAAAAAGCAGCAAAAATGAAAGGGAAATTTACAAGATGAGAATATCTGGATTTTTTTGAAAATCATAGATGATGATAAACATCTGCCAGCAGAGACACGCTGACACAGCCAGAATTCTGTCATACTCTACAGCACTCAGCTTGGATAGTACACTTAAGAATATAAACTGCATTCTGGGATACTAAAAATAGAGGAATGATTCCTGGGTATGTACATATTTAAAAACAACAAGGTGAACCCAGGAAATATAAACAGTGAAGTTTAATAAATAAAACCAAGCTTTCGATGGCTTAAAAGCTGCCATCATCGTCAGGGTATAAACAGGATGCTGGGAGAATTTGCTTATAAATGTAATCGCGTCTGCACACGGCTCCTGGATCTCATGACAGGTCCCGGCCGGTAAAACTTTGCCTCGTCTGCAGAATCAATTAGTTTATCGTTGCATCTTTTACTTACGCGTGTGTTACCACCCACCTCCCCCACTTCCTGTGTTCGTAAGTCAGGAGGGCGTCCCGTGATTCCCCAGGTCGGGACACACTTCTCGTCCTTGGGTTGGTTCTTATTCTCATATTTCTCAAAGAATATATATGTATGTATGTATGTATGTAGGTAGATAGGTAGGTAGGTAGGTAGGTCTTTGGTTGTTCAGGTTTTCTCCCGCGTAAAATTGGAAGTGTCTTGGCGACGTTTCAACGAAGTCCCATTTGTCATCTTCAGGCTGGTGTTTTCAGCTTCGTGCTTCGAGGAGCAATGTGTGGTCTTAGCTGTTTCTTCCTTTTAACTGCCAGTGGGGGTATGAACTGATTGGGTGGGAGCTTGGCTGTGTTCTGATTGGGTGGAGGTGTGTTCTGATTGATTAGGGGCTTGGCTGTGCTCTGATTGGCTGGGGGGTTGGCTGTGCTCTGATTGGCTGGGGGGTTGGCTGTGCTCTGATTGGCTGGAGGATGTTCTGTTTGGGTGGGGGCTTTGTTGTGCTCAGGTTAGTCTGAGTTGCAGGGGGGTTTAAAATGGTGGGCTGCCTTGCTATTTTTTGGCTTCGCGTTCGTGGTTATGCCTCATCTTCATGCAGGGTGTCAGTTTGCTTCATGTATGGATTGGAGGGGTTTAAAGTGGCTAATGATGCAGCTGTGGTCTGGCTTCTGGTTTGTGGTCGTGCCTCATCATCGGTGTGGCTTTGGGTTTGTTTTTTGCGTGGATGTGTGGTGGTGACATCCTATGTGGTTTTTGTGAGTGTGGGACTGGTATCATTTTTTGTGTTAGGGAGTCGTTTGTCAATAAGGGCAGGTTTCCAAATGGCTGGTAGGCGGGAGGTATCATCTCGCTTGTTCATGCTGTGTGGCGTTTTTCTATCTCGATGGCTTCTCTGATTATTCTGTTATTAAAATGTTCACTTTTGGCAATGGTTCTGGTATTTTTAAAGTCAATTTCGTGTCCTGTGGCTTTAAGGTGTTGGACCAGGGAAGATGTTTGTTCCTCTTTTTTGACTGAGTTCTTATGTTCTTCAATGCGTGCACTTATTCTTCTGTTGGTTTGTCCGATGTATGTGTTCGGACAAGCAGTGCATGGGATTTCATATACTCCTTGATTTTCTAATTCAATTAAACCCCTCCAATCCATACATGAAGCAAACTGACACCCTCCATGAAGATGAGGCACGACCATGAACGCGAAGCCAAAAAATAGCAAGGCAGCCCACCATTTTAAAACCCCCTGCAACTCAGACTAACCTGAGCACAACAAAGCCCCCACCCAAACAGAACACTCCCCCAGCCAATCAGAGCACAGCCAACTCCCCAGCCAATCAGAGCACAGCCAACCCCCCAGCCAATCAGAGCACAGCCAACCCCCCCAGCCAATCAGAGCACAGCCAACCCCCCAGCCAATCAGAGCACAGCCAACCCCCCAGCCAATCAGAGCACAGCCAAGCCCCTAACCAATCAGAACACACCTCCACCCAATCAGAACACAGCCAAGCTCCCACCCAATCAGTTCATACCCCCACTGGCAGTTAAAAGGAAGAAACAGCTAAGACCACACATTGCTGCTCGAAGCACGAAGCTGAAAACACCAGCCTGAAGATGACGAATGGGACTTCGTCGAAACGTCGCCAAGACACTTCCAATTTTACGCGGGAGAAAACCCGAACAACCAAAGACCTACATACAAACACCCGCAAAAACCTCAGAAAACATATATATATATATATATATATATATATATGTATGTATGTATGTATGTATGTATGTATGTATGTATGTATGTATGTATATGGTAAAA